TTATTGTTATGAATAATAACAAAAGCGCTTATCACCACACAACCTAGGGCGCTTACTGGTCGCTTTGTAAATTGATATAATAAATAATACATAATAATACATGACACATGTGCCAATAACCACTTAACACGGTGCGATGACTGGCCAGTCGGCTTATTAATTAAGTATATAAAAAAACACAGCACCAAACACCACACATGCCGGGGCGCTTACTGGCCGTTTGGTATATTAATTAATTAAATAAAATCACAAAAGCCCGAATCACCACAAAACACGGGGTGCTAACAGGTTGCTTAGTTAATGATTATGATAAATATAATACTACATGCGCCAATTACCATTTAACTCGAAGCGCTTACTGGCCAATTAGTTTGTCAAATAAATAAATTTAACTCGGAGTGCTTACTAGCTCCTTCGTTGATTAATATAAAAATTAAAATAATACATGGGCCAATCACTACTCAACCCGGAGTCCTTACTGGCCGTAAGGTCCATGATTTAAATAAATAAAATAACACATGTGCCGATCACTTCTCAACCCGGAGTCCTTACTGGCCGTAAGGTCCATGATTTAAATAAATAAAATAACACATGTGCCGATCACTTCACAACCTAAAGCTCTAACTGGCCGATTCGTATATTAATTAAAAACATGAAATAACACAGGTGCCAATCGGTTAACAAGCCAAAGCGCTTACTAGCCGCTCTGTAGAGTAATATAATAAATAAATAACACAATCGCCAATTACCATCCAACTTGGGGCGCTTACTGGCTGCTCTGTTAATAAATATTAAAAATAAAATTATAAAAGTGCTAATCACCAGACAACCTAGAGGGCTTACTGGCCGTTTTGTTGCTTAATTTAATAAATAAAAAAACATAAACGCCATTTACCACACAACCCAAAGATCTTACTAGCTACTCCGATAATTAATATGCTTAGTGGCCGTTTTGTTGGTTAATTTAATAAATAAAAAAATATGAGCGACATTTACCACACAACCCAAAGATCTTACTAGCTGCTCTGTTAATTAATATAATGAATAAAATAAGGCATGTGCCAATAACTTTACAACCCGAAGCGCTTACTGGCCAATTCGTTTATTAATTAAATAAATAAAATAACACTAGTGCCAATTACTACACAATTGTTTCTTGTTAAAGTAGTGTATACCGTAGGAAAACCTTACTGATTTCTAAACATTATGGAATTTTTTTTTGATACTGAAATATTCTAAGAGAATACGGGAAATATGATATCACGTAAGAGATACAGGGTACAGAATACGTGTTTCTATTTTTTTTCTTTGAATTCTCAATGAATTAACCTAAATTTGGGCTCAATATTGCTTCTTCGTTACTTCCAGAATTCACATTAACACTTCTGTGCACGAGAAAATTTATATTTATCTAATTTTTTATATTGAAAAGTAACGTAGTTATAAAAACCTGATTGAAAAGTTAGGAAGCATTAAAGAAGTTCACAAGTTATGAAAAGTAATAGAAAAGTGCCTGAATTTTTGTACATTGCAGTTTGTTGATGAAAAAGGACTGATTTGCTTCAGATTCGTTCACACTGTTAGAAATTCTATTAATATTACAACTATTGACGACCGAATTTCTGAATAACGATTTACAAACATGTAATGTAATCGGAAAGTCAGAATCTCGTATGCCAAGTTTCAGAAACGTTTGTAAAATTAAGAATGTATTGAATCTTAATGTGCAACTTCTGTGATTGCCCATTACATTACGGGTTTGATATATCATTTAAGAATTTCATTCTCAATTCATATTCAAAATTAACAAACTTGNAAAATAATAAAAGCGCCAATCCCCATACAACCCAGAGTGCTTACTGGCCACTTTGTTTATTAATTAAATAAATAAAATAACACAAGCGCTAATCACCACACAACCCGGAGCGCTTACTGGCCAAGTGCTTGCGCAGCAGATGACAAAGAGAATGCAACGTTTTATTTTACTGGTTTTACTAAGTATGTTATAATCACTTATAACATTACTATTATCCCTGTTGTGGCGGTCTGATAAAAACCAATGAAATTTTACAATGATTTTTTCATTGGTTGCTTATCGGTATTTGTACCCGTAAATCCAAATAAAATCTGAAATGGTCAAAAATAGATTTTCTATATCATTTATTGTAAGTAGGAGATGATTAAACAAAAATAAATTTTCTAATTTATGTTCTACCATCCGGATTGCAACCCCAAAATGGGGGGATTACAATATTTTGTATGTAAATTACAAGAAAAGTTAGTTATTAATTTTTATTAGAATTTTGTAAAAAATACTTTAGTCCCCCCGTTTTGGTATTACCATCAGGATGATAGGACATAAATTTGTTTGATTATTTTTCTTCAATGATGTCCTGGATACAATGAAAATCATTTTTGACCATTACAGATTTCATCTGGATCTACGGGTGCAAATACCGATATAAAACCAATAGAAAAATCCTATTGTAAGATCGATGAAGTTTTTATTGGTTTTTATTTGACCGAAGCAACAGGGATTGCAAACATTTTTGTGAAATAAAAAGGAATATGGATTCCTTATTTCCTAATTTACAACTTTTGCACGTGTAACAGGTCAAACTAGTGCCAATTAAGTTTTAAGATCCAGAAGAAAAAAGTTAATCGTACATAGAATTTAGGCTTCACTGTTCCGAGAGCTAACAATATTTTCACCACCATGGGCGTTTCGATCGATGTTCTTATCTTCTCCAAACAAACTCACGTAGTGAATATATTTGTACGTAAGTGCTACATGGATGCTCACTTTGTATTTATTGATAGCCACACTTCCCACTGATGTGTGTTAAATTCTATCACACCTGCATTTCATAAACTTTTGTAAAGTACTATTTTATTGCATTAGGTCACGTCCCATCTCACAACTATCGATAGAGTTGGAGCAGAAAAGTTCATAGAAGTTCTATAATGGGTAATTGCAATCAAACTTCATTACAAGTTGGCTCGTTTTATCTTGAATTATACTTCTCTTACCTCGTTCTCGAGATCACGTTGTAGATGTTCAGAGCTAAGTGTAATGTCAACTCGTAAGGATGTATAAGTACTCTTATTCAAAATATTTTCAATCATTTTATTGAATAAATCAGTATACAAAAATAATATACATTCGCAGATTAACATTATTTTGAGTTACAAAATTTAGTCATTTTTAAGGTGAATTTACATTTATGTGGTACAGTTATTTTGGAACATTAGATCTATTCCTAACACTTTACAAACGGGAGGAAAGAGTTTTCTCTTGCGAAATAAAATTTCTGACCACTAACACAAAATAATATAAAGCTATCAGCCGTGGTTTTCTCCCAATTATCATAAAATTTGGCCAGCCTACCAGCTATGGAACCTACACTTAATATTTTCAGTAGTGTTGACTGTCCGTCCTGACCCGAGTTGGAAATCTCGCTCTTGGGTGGACAGATTTTTACCCCTTCAATTTAGTATTTATAACTAAGAGATTCGTATGAAAATAACATACAGAAAAACATATTCATTAAAATTTTTTTAATTTTCCTGAAGNAAAAAGTATAAATTATTTAAAGTAATGTTAAAAAAAATAAAAAAATAAAAAAATTTGGTCCATGTGAGATTAGAATCCAGAGCCGCAAAGCTAAAATTCACTCTCCTGCTCTAGCCATCTGGGCTATAAATGCTTAGATTGTAATGAGATTAAAAGTTACATATAATTATCGTAAAGTTTCGAAGCTTGAGATTTCGTTTAAGCTTTATCGTATTATTGCCGTTAAGCTAGGTATTAATGGTAAAAAAATATAAATTAACAATTAAAGATATCAGTGCAATAGGGCATTCAGGTAAAGGTGCTCAGTATATTAGTAAGTAATATTACTTAGTACAAAAGATATTTGAGCGTACTGTGTCGTTGTGGTGAATGCCTTTATTTATTATTCAATAATTTTACTTATCATAAAAATGAAGAACAATTAAGCGCACTGGATTAATGGTATAGAGGCGGTTGTTTATTAATAAAGAAAAATAATATACTAATTGAGTTGAGCTTGTCATTTTTTGAAAAAAGAAGAAAAAATTGTTAATAACCTGACAATTATGTTTTTGTTTATATAGTTGAACGAATGATCAACTGCATTAAAAAAGCTTATCTTTCTTTCAGGGAGGAAAAGCGAAAAAAGTATTACGTGCAGCTCTTTTCCATAATGTATATGAGCAGTGTACAACTATAGCTATAGATATATAGCCCGTTGTTTGCATATACATATAGGTTTAGCTTCTCCTCTCTCCATCACCGATGCACACACATTTAGATCCTCATGTCTCCCTCACTCATCTCCCCTTACCTCTTCCCACGAGCCGAGCCAACAAGCTGCCAGGCAATAGAAAACGTGTGCATGGTTCCTCTGCTGGCCACAATGGATTGGCGCTCTAATCAGCACCGAAACAACAGCACACTCTTTAACATAGGCACTGGCAATCTCCCTACTTATCTCTGTTGGCACTTGAGTCATTTCATTTATTCAATTAATTCACCAACTGGCCAGTAAGTGCACCGTGTTGTGTGAATATTAAAACATGTATTATTTTATTTATTATATTAATAAACAAAAGGGCTAGTAAGCGCTGCAGGTTTATTTGCGATCGGCGCATGTGTAACTTTATTGAGTATATTAAATAACGAAGTGACCAGTAAGCTCTTCGGGTTGTGTAGAGATTGGGGCTTGGGTTATTTTGTTTATTCAATTAACCAACCAAACAGCCAGTAAGCCCTTTGGGTTGTAAAGTAATCGGCACATGTGTAGTTTTATTTATTATATTAATAAACCAACCAGCCAGTTAGGGCCCTGGGTTGTGTGGTGATTGGCGGTTATTGGTTTAATTGATAAACCAAACGGTCAGTAACCACTCCGGGGAAATAGTAATAAGCGCGTTTGNTATATTTATATATAATTTAAGAAATTAACACATGATTATAGATAGAACACGTGTACGTAGCACCTGGAAATGTTGGCATAGCAAAGGAGAGAAAGGTTACTGTGGTGACATTGGATGTTAAGAATAATAAGGTATTTATGAAATATAGAATAAATTATTCAATTATTTAGTGTGAATGCAAAAAATGTATATGTATCTCATCCAGAAAGTAATCTATGAGCACTTGCATGACTTTATCAGTAATCAGGCATACGAGCCATGTCTTGTTTACTTTACCGATATACATGTTACATGAATGATCACTGCATTTTTATTTTTAGAAATTAATTATTTGGTTTCAGTTACATACACATTTTAAAACAAACAAAAAACAACAATCACGATTAATATCGAAATGCTACTTATTAACTTAAGGTATATTTTATAACTTAAGAAATGCATTATGTTACTCTTCTAAGTTCTCAAAATTTTCTTTAAACATGATACAGGATGAACTTAAAAAATAAGTTCGGTATACGTTCTTAAGCTAATATTTGTTATACTACTCATTTTAATTTTACTAAGTTATGGTTAACTATTTACACAAAAAAAATAAAAATCTACTTTTAATATATTTCAGCCTTTAACAAAGACATAAAAAAGATAAATTTTCACTAAATAGCTATAAATTAAAGATACTTATTGTTTCTAGCAACAAAATGATTTATTGGTTTGGGTTTAATAATTTTATAACCTTTAATGAAAAGTTTGTCGTCTTGCATATTTTTTATAACAAGTATAAATTCCCTTATACGTATGATTTGTGCACTTCAAAGTTTTGCGATGGATGCCTGTTCTCGGGATTGCCGAGTTCGTCCCCAAACTCATAAAAATGGTTGAATTCGTCCCTGAGTCGTTAGAGTATTTTCTTATCACTTATCAAATTCGTCCTCGGGTCATACGAGTATTTTTTAATACTCACCAAATTCGTCCCCGGGTCATTAAAGCTTTCTTTTGTCCCTTTTACCGAATTCGTCCCCGTTATAATCATATTTTTTCCGTCGCACTTTTCATTGTAAGTCCGAAGATTTACACTGATTTTCAGGCTTCGGACTGGCAGTTTATTTTAGAAATTTCGGTTTCTTCTTGTTTATATTTTATCATTTTATCAAACATAATAATTTTTGAAATGTGTACGAATACCCGTATAGAATCAGCAAAGTTCTGCCTTTTCCAGTTACACCAAATTCCATTGGTTTTAGATAATTTGGTAATAGATAAGAAAACACTCCAATGACCCGGGAACGAATTCGGCAAGTGATAAGAAAACACTCTTATGACTCAGGAACGAACTTAGTGAGTGATAAAATGATGCACTTACGATGGGGACGAATTCGGGTAGGCCCTCTATTCTAGCCAATCTCAACTGTTTCATAATTTGATTTTAAAAGTCATCTAGAACAGTTGAATAATAAAGAAAAAAAACTGAAAAATTACATACTTAAATAAATTATGGTACATTACGATACAGTAGGGCACATATAGTACAAACATGAGCGGCCGAAGGGTGTGGTTGTGGTATGTTGGTGCCCGAGTCGCGGATAATGTTTTTCTTACCGAGGGCGCAAAGTGCAATTTTGCGCCCGTAGCGACACTTTGCACCTAATTAATCATTGTGGGCCTTAGGGTAGAAAAGTACTTTGGGGATACGGAGGTATACGGAGGTATCCGGAGGGCGCAAGAAACTTTTTTGCCCGTAGGTCCAAAGTGATAACAAGGACACAAAGTGTGGCCCGAGGGCGCGAAATGGCAATTTCATTTTGTGTCTATGGTAAGAAAGTAGATAAATATTAACTAAATAATATAATTTCATATTTTAAATAGTCTTAATTTTCCTTATCAAAAACTGAAATTGATGAATAATTGTATAACGAATAGTTATTATGAAATACAGTACTCTATTATTATTACAACATATTTCAAATTTGTGTAGGTCGTTGGAGAATGGTGCAAAAAAAATTATGTTAGTATGGTAGCTGTTGGACCTGAAGAATATTTAGCACAAGGGCTTGCTGATGAACTAGAAAATATGGGAATTTCATGTTTTGGACCAAAAAAAGATGCTTCCAGGATCGAAGCTGACAAAGATTGGGCAAAGGCTTTCATGGACCGTCATAATATTCCGACAGCAAAATGGAAAGCATTTACGAGTAATAAAGAAGCCCAAAACTTTGTTAAAACGTAATTATCTTTTATTTATTAAATTTATATGCTACAGAAAGTCAATGGACACTTTGTTTTTACAGGGCGTCTTTTCGTGCCTTAGTTGTCAAAGCTTCTGGTTTGGCAGCGGGAAAAGGTGTCGTAGTAGCTAAAGATGTTCAGGAAGCATCTAAAGCTATCGATGAAATGTTATGTAACAAAAAATTTGGTTCTGCTGGAGATACTGTTGTCATTGAAGAATTACTAGAGGGAGAAGAAGTTTCTGTATTAGCATTTACGGATGGTAAGATTTCTTGACAATACATTATTCTCAATTCTAGGATAACATAGATTCTCAACATAAAAATGTTGGTATTTATGCAACTGCTACCTAATTGACAACTTATTGAGAATATAGAACTCATATGACATTTAAAAAAGTTTTCTGGGTGACAGGATCATCAATTTTTAACTTAATTCATTTCATTCTCTGAAATAAACTTGCCTCATGTCTTTTATGTATGCTTTTATGTTTCTATGCCATCTTAAAGTTAAATTTGTGAAGAATAAAGAATAAATACATTTTTTTGTACTTTGAGATTTATTTTGCCGTTGGATATTGGCTGTCCCTCAACAGGAAACAATTTTTTTTTTTACTTTTAGCATTTATCTTTTTTTAAGTTTAGACAACTGAATCCTCAATAAGAAAAATAGAGCTCACACCTGGTGCGCATCCAACCCGGGAAAGTACAAGGAGTCCTGTGGGCCCTGCTTTGCTGTGCGAGCTCTGGTAACATGCGCCATCAGGTATGAAAGCTACTACTTCGTATCTGGTAGCTCATGTCACCAGAGCAAGCACAAGATTCGAGGGACTCATTGTGCTTGCATCAATTGGATAGGCACCAAATGTACGAAAGTTATTCCTACTGAGAGAGCAATAAACATCTAAAGATAACAAAAACAAACAAAGTAGGAAATCACGTTACGTCACTTGGTAACAAAGTAAAAACTTGAGCAGGCGTAGTTGTCGAAATTTGTACTCAAATCGCGTACTTTGATTATTTTTCTGACCAAGACTAAAAAGTGATATTTTGCTTCCAGACAGTTACTTTGCACCCTAGAGCAAAAAAGTACTTTAGTTTGAGAGGGCTGATGCAGAATGTGATCTGAGACTATTTGTTTTTCTTTCCTAGATGAAAATATTTACTTCTTTACGTTTTTCAACAGAGTTCTAAAATTTTCTTACANTGTTATTTTATTTATTATATTAATTAACGAATTAGCCAGTTAGCGCCTTTGGTTTTGTGGTGATTAGAGCTTGAGTTATTTCATTGCTTTAATTAATAAACCAACCGGCCAGTAAGTGCTCCGGGTTTGATGGTGATTGGCACATGTGTGATTTTATTCACTTAATTAATAAACTAAACGGCCAGTCAGCGCGAGATTTAATGGTAATTGGCACATGTATTGTTTATTTACTTAATGAATGAACCGAACTGCTAGTAAGCACTCTATGTTGTGTAGTGATTGGCACATGTGTTATTTTATTTACTTAATTTATAGACAAAACGGCTAGTAAGGACTCAGGGTCTGGTAGTAATTGGCACATGTATTATTTTAATTATTATATTTATTAACGAAGCAGCCAGTTAAGCCCCAGGTTTTGTGGTGATTGGCATTTGTGGTATCTTATTTATTATATTAATTAAAAAAGCGGCCAGTAAGCCCCCAGGTTTTGTGGTGATTGGCATTTGTGGTATCTTATTTATTATATTAATTAAAAAAGCGGCCAGTAAGCGCTCCGAGTTAAATGGTGATTAAAGCACATGTGTTATTTTAATAACTTTAATGATTAACCAAATGGCCAGTGAGTGCTCCATGTTTAATGGGGATTGGAACATGTGTTATCTTATTTACTTGATTAATAAACTGAACTGCTAGTTAGCGCTCCGGTTTATGTAGTTATTGGCACATGTGTTATTTTATTTATTAAAATAAGAGACCAAACGGCCAGTAAGGACTAGGGTTTAGTAGTGATTAGCACATGTATTATTTTGATTTTTATATTAATTAACGAGGCAGCCAGTAAGTGCCCTGGGTTGTTTGGTGATTGGCGGATGTGGTTTTTTATTTATTATATTAATTAACAAAGTGGCCAGTAAGTGCTTTGAGTTGAATGGTGATTGGTGCATGTGTTATTTTATTTATTATAAACATCAACAAAGTGACCTGTTAGTGCCCTGGGTTGTGTTGTGATTGGGGCTTTTGTTATTTTATTTATTTAATTAATAAACCAAACAGCCAGTAAGCGCCCCGGGTTGTGTGGTTTTTGGCACATGTGTGATATTATTCATTATATCAATTAACAAAGCGATCAGTAAGCGCCCTGCGTTGTGTAGTGATTAGCGCTTTTGTTATTATTTATAAAGCAAATAACTTTAAAGTGGCCAGTAAGCGTTTTGCGTTGCTGGGTTGAATAGCTTAAGGTTTTATTCGTTTACTATGTTTAAAATTCTGTTGAGTTATGTAAGTTATGGGTTCAGCGTTTTAGGTTGTGTAGTAATGGGCACTAGTGTTTTTTAATTTATTTTGTAAATATATTAAACAGCTAGTAAGCGCTTCGAGTTAAATGGTAATTGGCGTATGTGTTATTTTATTTATTATAATCATTATTAAAGTGACCAGTAAGCGCTTCGAGTTAAATGGTAATTGGCGTATGTGTTATTTTATTTATTATAATCATTATTAAAGTGACCAGTAAGCGTTTCGGGTTGTGTTTAGTTACTGGTAAAACAAAATACGTAAGTAATAGAAAAAAAAAAGTATAAATTATTTAAAGTAATGTTAAAAAAAATAAAAAAATAAAAAAATTTGGTCCATGTGAGATTAGAATCCAGAGCCGCAAAGCTAAAATTCACTCTCCTGCTCTAGCCATCTGGGCTATAAATGCTTAGATTGTAATGAGATTAAAAGTTACATATAATNGCCTATAAAAAATATTTAAAAGATTCAAGATGGTTTGAGTTAGTATGTTATTAAATAAATAATACTAAACAGTATTATTTATTATATATTTATTACAAAATACTTTAGTTCCTTAGACATTAGTGAATACTGTTAAATATAGGTTACTCCACTTTATCTCACACTGTCAACAATAACTTTCTTACAATGGGCTCAAAGTGCAACTGCTTAAAAGCCTTGTATTCAAAAAGATTTCGTACAAAAGTTGCAGGAATATTAACTATGAGTTGATCTAGCCAAGTTGTACCTCAAAGTATTAAGGAAAAACTTACTTATTACAGAAATGAGCGTTAAAAATCGCGTTTTCTTGAAATGTTCGTATCTCTGAGAAAAATTTATATTTTTCAACCGATTCTAGTAAAAGTGTAGCTCTTGGCTTGAAAAACAGAGAATTTCTAAAAATTTTGAAAATTAAAAAAGTTTTATCAAAAACCGATTTTTTGGTGTTGTCCTATAATATCAGCTATCAAATAGTATTAGCGACGATTGATAGAAAAAATATTTTTACCGAAAAAACAACTGTTTCAATTGACAATAAAAAATCTGATTTTTCGACCGATTCATTACCTGACAATTCGAAAAACACGTAATACTTACAAATGTAAGAGCAACGTTGGGAAAAAAATTTAAGCCCTGGATCGCTTGGAAAAACCAAAAGGTGTAAGAGCTATTTAGGTTTCAAAAAATGGTAATTTTTTAGAAAAATCGGTTTTTGCAAAACTTTCTCATGTTTCCGAAATTAAAAAAAAAATGCTCTTCATTAAGCTAAGAGCTACACTTTCAATAAATTTATTTTTAACCAAGATACGTGAACTTTAAAAAACGCGGTTTTTAATGGTTTCTTTGAGATAAGTAATTTGTTCGTTAATACTTTGAAATCTTACTGGGCTCAATTTATCTGTAATTAATACATCTCAAATTTTTCTCAAAACTTTTTTCAAAATTAAGTTTTTTTTTTATACAAAAAAATGGTTTTTCGCCAACTTGGTCCTTTATTTTGAATGAGCTTTTATAACGTCAGTTATTTAATTTTTAGTGCATTGAATTCTACGGAACCTTTCCGATTTTTAACATATTTTTGAATACTCGATCTCGGAGGTTAAAAGTTAATATGAGGCTCGAAATAGACAGATTGTCCTGTATCGGTTGACATAGATTTCGAAGAAAAAAAATTTTCAACTATCTGATTTAACACGGAATTTGCCTTATGCTAATTAAGTTCACTTATTCTGAATATCTTAATTTGAGCCAAAAATCAAATGTACTCAATGATTAAAAAAAATTAGCAGATCATGTTTAATGATTCCATCAATTTATTCCTTGTAATCATAGTGAATACATTTAATAATCTTTGACTTTAAAACCCGTTACAGGTAAAACAATAGTTGATATGGCACCAGCACAAGATCATAAAAGAATTTTTGATGGTGATAACGGTCCGAACACAGGTGGGATGGGAGCTTACTGTCCTTGCCCACTTTTAGCACCCGAAGAATATAAAACTATCGAAAATCAAGTTTTACAAAAAGCTATTGATGGTCTTAGGGAAGAAAACATACAGTTCACTGGAGTCTTATACGCAGGCATAATGCTTACTAAAGATGGGCCGAAAGTGTTAGAATTTAATTGCAGGTTTGGTGATCCTGAAACACAAGTTATCTTACCGTTATTAGAATCAGACTTATTTCTTATTATGAAAGCCTGCTGTGAGGGAACATTAAATCAGGATCTCGTTTCATGGAAAAAGGATTTCTTCTCAGTTGGAGTAATTATGGCTTCACGTGGCTATCCTGAATCATCATCCAAAGGCCAAGTTATTCAGAAAGTCGAAGAAATAAGTTCTAAAAGCAATCATTTTATTTTTCATAGTGGGACTAGTGTATCTGCCTCTGGAGAACTTATAACAAATGGTTAGTTTTAATGTTGTAAGGTTTCATACAATATAAAGTGTTCAACATAACACTAAATTTCAGGTGGTAGAGTATTAATTGCTGTTGCCCTCAATTCTTCATTGGCACAAGCAGCAGCAAAAGCTACATCAGCTGCTCGTCATATTCAATTTGATGGCAAACAATTCAGGAATGATATAGCTCACAAAGGGATCGCTAGGTTGTCAACATAATATTTTTTTTCAAAGTAAACTAAATACCTTATAAAATCGAAAGTATTAACTATTCGTATCATTTAACTCAATTTTATCAGTTGTATAGGTATTTGGAAGTTCAACAAAAAATAATAATTTTCAACGGAATATAAAAAAAATTATAAAAATAAGTATTCAGAATCATATACAAACATTAACAACTGTAGATACCACAAAAAGCAAGAGATTGTTATAACACTTGGTTTTTAAACTCAACTTAATTAACGAATTGATTTAATAGTTTTTAAATTTGTGCGCTTGGCTAATACTTCTTCAAATAATTTACAGCATTTATTTATTAGGTGACAATAGTGCGTACTGTAAAAATTCATATAAAAACATGAAAAATTCAAAAGATATAGTTAGAATACATCACCTAGAATACTGATTTAGTAAGTGACGTAACAGAACTATTTAACTTGCTTACCTTCGTCAGTTTCTGTAAGGTATGGTCCAAGATCACATAACAATTGGTCACAAAGAATGACAGTGAGTAACAATGACCCTGTGATGAAGCCCACAACCTCGATATTTTGTTTATGTTCTATATTGATTTTTATTTTAATGCACCAAAATGTGTCTAGAAATTTCGCTGACTAAATCTAAAAGCTACCATTAATGAATTAAGGTGGCTCCAGTGGCCTCAATGTTAAAATTATAAATAACCCAACCGAGGTTAATAAAATTGAATTATATTCGTTGAATTCCCATCTTTCTATTCGTATAAAAAAAAATTAAGGTTGACGATGAAAATTGTAAGAAATCATGCTTACAAAATCGTAGTTTTAAGACGGGTTAGATAGGAAATGCAAGCTTACGCGATATAGAACCTTCTGCTGCACTTATATAAATAACCCGTAAGGTGTAAAAAACATACTATCTTGTATATATTATTACGCAGTTTTCGATGACATGAGAAAAGTGTCTTGTTATCGAACAAAATCTTTAAATAATCGGAGACTAAGTATACAGTTGCGAGTGCAAGTCAGCTCTCAGCTGTCTGCATTCTGCAGAGTACAAATATATAGGTATAACTACTCTTGAACTTAAGAGCGTACCGTAACAGTTCATCAATTAGGGCACCATAAAACTTTTTTGTTTTTTAATATTAACTCACTAAAGTAACAGATAAAATGTAGAATATGGCTTACAACAGTCTCTACGATAATTTTATACCATATTTTAAAAAAAATAATGATTAATTTTTAGTCTCCCCATTTTGATACGGCACTAGGCGCTGGAGCCACCTTAATACACTATTTTACGATATCTCTACATTTTTACAAATTTTCTATTTATGTAAAAAAGTCAACTAAGGATAACTCTTACAAAAACATTTACTACAAAACATAACTTTAACATTTATCAACTTTAGATAGCGGCCTATAAAAAATATTTAAAAGATTCAAGATGGTTTGAGTTATTATATAAAAACAGATTTCTAAAGTTTCAGAGTGATTTGTGCAACGTCTTCCTGACAAATTTAATGCATTATTTGAAAGTAAATCTCAATTTTTTAAATTTTCAAGCTTCATGTACCTGTTACTTTTTTGTTGATCATGCGTTTGAAGATACTTATGATAGTAGTCTTCGTACCATGTGTGCAAAGTAAAAAAATTTTGCTTAGAAGGCGAGGTTTTTGCATGTTTGTGCCCAAGATCTGAACGTCATTTTTCTTTATAATGGTCCAAAGTCGCTCCTTACAAACACAAATCACTTTGCACTTGCGGGCGCCATGTTAGACCGAAGGATGCAAAGTGCTCCTGCCCTTAATAAAAAAAATTAATCGATACTTGCTATATTCACTTCATTTATTTTTCCAAGCGATTTCCTATAACTTCTTACCAAATAAAATTACAAGTAAAATATACTTAGTCTAGGATTTGGTCGTAAAAATCTTTGGCTCTTACGGGAATTGATAAAATTTGGTCGTAACGCAACACTCTTAACCAAAAGTAGGAAAATGAACGCTCAAAAGTAGAATACGTGCAATTCAAGCTTTTGAAAGCATAAAACATGAAATTTGATCTTTTAAAAGAATAATATCAAAAACTCTACTTTTTAAAAGTAGAAATATCGTATTTTCTTCTTTTAAAAGTAAAAAATTTTGTTATTTCTACTTTTGAAAAGTAAAAATGAATATTTTCTACTTTCCAAAAGTTCTCTATTACATCTATTCTTTACAAAAGTATAAATGATATAATTTATATTTCTGAAAAGTAAAAAATGTTTCATTTTGTCTTTTCAAAGAATACAATACCTGCTTTGCATCTTTTTTCAATCAATCTATGCATATATGTATGTAAAACAGAAAAAAAACGCTGATTATTACAATGCGGATGCGTGTGTATGTAGATGTGTTTATGTATAACTGAGCAGTATTTGAATTTAAATGATATTAATACAACAAAATCTTCATATTTTTTTTACTTACGTTTGCTAAATGTTTTTTCGAAAAATGATAATTAAATGAAAAATCGTAATATTCTTTGTGAAAATTCGTTTTTATTAGAAACATTAAAATTAAATTACAAACACAAAAAACGTTACTTTGGATCACTTAACTTTCTAATTCAATTGTAGCAAGTTTTTCTTTGAAAATCTTTACATTTTCATCACTAAGTGGGATTTCAAGAACACTTAAACAGAAGTTGTAAAAAACTTTTCGAGATTTGGGAAAGTTAACTTTAAAAATTATTAAAAATTGTATAAGAACATTTGCTGCTGTGACAAAATCATCTCCAAGAGGCATCAACCTGTTCATAGCTCTTAAATAGAATGTCCCTTCCCAAGACACATTTTATTTTGTTAAACAGAGCAAAATTGGTTGAAGTTTAGCTTTTTCTTTGACGTCTTTTTCTAACAAGTATCCATTATATATTCATACGGGTAATACTAGTGCACCTTGACAACCCCATGAGGCCAGCTGCAAAAACGAGAGAGGAATGATTGTGCAATACAAGTGTAAGTCATTTACTTGGCTCCTCAAGATATTGATGATTCTTGCACAGTTGTATAGATTTTGGAGGCCTTTTCGCGGAAAAAAAGTTTGCCAGTTAAAACCGGTTGTGAAAGTCCCAGCAATCCTCATCAATGGGTGCAAAAAAATCATTTTTTTTAAGGAGGTTGACTACATTTGGAGGGGGGTGCGACAGAGAGGTCTGACTTTTGTGCCTTCTGTAGGTTAGAAATGCGTGCGCATGTCCCGTAATTTAATATTGAGTTGTATTTACACTCCAGATTATTCATTAATAACTATTTTCATAAGGACCTTATCGACGTGATTGTTTTACATAATAAAAAGTCAGATGTTAATTTACTATCATCTACAGTTTCGTCCAAATCGGACTGTTAATTGTATTAAAATTTTTCATTATAAGAGTCGCTTTTGACGATCTCCCATAAGAATGCACGTAAAATTTCGAAAATTGTTGCATCAATTCCTTATTTCATAAGCACCCAGAGATGTTGCAACTTTGCAAAAAATTTATTTTACATTTTTTTGAAGCTCTGCACAAATTTTAGTTAAAAACTGACTGTCAATTGCTTAAGGTAGTCAACCTCCCTAATAGTTGATTGCAAATTAGCTTTTACCTGTCTGTGTAGAATATTTCGTATGGAAAAAAATATTTCATTTTAATTTGTACTAGTTTCTTTAAAAAGAAAATAGTAATGCATACCAGGTGCGAACTCTATTTTTTCTACTGAGAGTGCAGTAAAAATTCAAAAGTTGAGAAAAACGCCCAAAGTTGGAAAAATAACTTACTGTAAAATGCGTTCAGGAAGTTGTTAAGAACAAATCTTAAAAAAGAATTTTCTAATTTTTTCAGCTTCTGTAGTTATTTGTCATGATCCAAAGATTTGAGATTATACTATTACTAAATTTCTTCAGGTTTTTTTGTTTTTTCAACTTGATTCAGCTGTATTTCTTAATATTCTATTATTCTTATTTCTGGGCTTGCATTTGCAGTCCAAATTTTTCATCATTTCTAGGATATTGTCTACATTTTTTTGTAATTAAAAAATAAATAGAAAATAGGTAGTGAAAAGGGCGTGTAGAAGTTTAAATATTTATAAAGTGACTGTTGGCTTAAATATACGTGGACTATCGAATCTGTTTTATACCATAAATATTCTTGGACCGCCAAGTATTTCAATAACATTAGATTAAAATTAACTTGCAAAATAAATGTCAAAAAATGTCAAGTATGAAGATTTAAAAATGTTAAAATCATTTTTCCCTTGGGTAACGATAAATCTACGTAGCTAAAGTATAACTGACCTTAATGCACGAAAATCTTCATAACTTTCTTTATTTTGGTGACTTTCATTCTTTGTATTTTTATCTACGTGAGAAGTCATTCATATATAATAAGTATCAAAAGGAAGCACATTCACTGTTGATTCACGAACTTCTACAGCTTGGGTAACGTCAGAACTCTACTCTACCTTTGCATATCTTCCAACGCACACTTTCTTTAAACATGCGATATGAAAATTCTAACTTCTTTTTGATAATTCCAAGTGAAATATACTATATTTAAAAATTAAACATTATAATAAGAAAGTAGCACTTTAAATACAGCACTTAAACTAATTTGGACAACTTTATTACCTATTGCATGTGTGTTAACTTTTGATTTTTTAAATCATGTAGTAATAAAACCTATGTAACAACATTATTTTGTAATAACATGACACTTAATGTTGGAATAAAATATCAGGAGACTGCTAATTAATAATTTTAAATTTTTTCCGTTCCTAATGAACAAAATGATCAGAATACATTTATTACAAGCACGCACAGCAATGTCAAGGAAACTAGAGTTAAGGGGTACCAAAATACTTGCAACAATGGAGTTTTTTTGCAATAAGTTAAGGGAAATTATTGCAGGAAATATACTGCAGACGTGTTTAAGTTCTTCGAAGCTAATTGTGCAAGTTATTATACTACAGCAAGTATTAGAATTACAAGATACGAATACGATGGAAATATATTTTTATCATGACAAATAACTACAGAAGTTAAAAAAATTAGAATGATTTTTTTTCAAATTTGTCATTAACAAATAAGTAAAAGTTAGTTTGCAACAAGTTACTTTTTCCAAGAAACTAAGTTGAAATAAAGTATTGTTTTTTATAATAAATGTTAAATACAGACGCGTTAGAACTTACCTACAATCAACTGCTTGAAAAATGATTTCTCGTTCCCTTAAGGAGGATTGCCGGAGCTTTTGCAACTGGTCTCACCTATAGCAACCTTTTTCTTCGTAAAAAGACCTTAAAAATCCATCCAACTGTGCAAAAATCAATTATATCCTGATCGGACAAGTAGATGACTCAAATTTTGATTGTGAAATTTCTTCCCTTTTTATTAGTTTTTGCAGCAGGTATCATAGGATTGCCACGGTGCATTACTATTACTCAAATGAAGTCCGTCTCCCAAGTGCTTAGTGCCCAGAGTAGTGCCCTTTATAGGAGCCGGACGTAAAGCACTATTATATAAAAAAAAAAGTTATGAAGCATTAATTGAAGAAAAAAAATTTTTTTAGTGTGAATATCATGAACCTTCCATGAAAAAACTGTTGTAGTCACTGATCTTTGCGCTATTAAAAAAACCTTTTTGACATAACTGGATACAATATATATATATGCATACCAAATGGTTTTCGTTCAATCATTTATTCATGCAGGGTCGTGAATCTTGGTAATCTATAGTTATGTGGAAGTGGTACGAGGTAAGTTTGAGAAGCAGTCAAAGCTTCGGCGATCGTCTTGCTGTTTACTCAAAAATAGGAACATTGAATTTCCTCAAATTATAAATTAAACTTTTACCTCAGTATTCCTCATAATTCGGATTCAAATCGACAACATTATACATACAAACCATAACTTTATCACAAAATATTTGCATAAAAGCGTATAACTTTTTGTTGAAAAGGGACAGTTATACGGGTGCTCATTTAGATGTGTCAAAAACAAGCACTTAAAATAGAAGCCATGTAACTTCTTCAGCCCACGTGCTTTCACTTCCTCTTCTTGCAATTTAGCATCTTTAACAATCCCAGAATAAGAAACCTTAAGGTGAATATCCCAGTAATTGCTCACTCAAGCAGACGAAATGTCCACATTCTTGGTCACTTTATTTTTCATTTTACAGGCCTCAGATAAGTACATTTTCAATGATAAAACAAGGTGGATTTGTTTCAAAAAATAATTTTTTGGTATCCCAATAACAATTCATTCATGTTTGAAAAAATTCATATGAAGATATAATAAAAAAAGATCGATAATTGAGAAGTTCACCTTCTGTAAAACTTTTTCAAGAAATTTTAGAAGACCAAAAGACATCTTACAAAATTTGTTGTAAGTTATCTTATAGAAATCTTATTGAACTTTAATGTCAATTAATGAATTAACACGATAAGATGTCGTTTAGAGCATTTTCCTCTGATAACTAAAAACATTTTGATACACCACGCGCCGCTCACCTTAACTGCAACGCGAGTATCCCCCACTACATTGGGTGGTCTGCTCGTCCGTTGAAAGTGGCTGGCTTACTAGTCACGTTTATATAAGCAGCTCATCTGCACCTTCAGCCAGTAAAATTGCATCCAAAAAAGATATAAGGTGAGCCAATTGCGCAACTTGGGGACGTTAACACACACGTTTTTCTGATAGATTTTATTAAAACTTTGAACGAATAGTCGTTGCGACATAATAATATTCCATAGAAAATTTCAGATCGTTTTACTACACTGTTTTTTATATATATTTAGTTTTAAAATATCTCAATTAATGGTATCACAACTATGCTGTAGAATCACGTGAAATCGAATTTATAAAAAAATGATCTGTAAAAATGTCCCATTTTTTTGTAGAATAGAATACTATCAGATAAACATTATATTGAATTTCTAAATGGATGCATAAGTTGACCTTTCAATAAAATAAGAAAGAAAAGGTGGGTATACGTAAACGCGTTGATGTATATAGGTATATCTAATTGCCAGCGATACTAAATATTTGCACTCCAAATTTCAACCGAACCAACGTTAGAATATTTTCCCAAGAAAACACCTTGATAAGCAAATCGTACTTAAGCTTGTTATTGTATAGCCTGAAACAATGTTTACACGGTTTTAAAACATAAGTTTTTCTTCTTATTTGGCAAGCTTTTCTTATCTGTTAATGAAATTTTCATAATGCAGCATAGATTTAGTTTCGCCCTCGTATGAAACCAAAAACACTTATTGATTAAAAGCCTCTTCAATTTGTCAAGAGTTTGAAAATGTTAAGGAATTCTTTACATTTTTCAGTACTTAATAAACTCTAAGAGAAAGTAAGAACCTGCAACATTAATGCGTGCTTATAAACGAATTATTATACTATACATAATGATGCACCCATCAACTTCAATTTTTTGTACTAATAGATGTATTACATACGATTAAAAAAGCGAAATACTGTTTTTTGAGAAGCTTGTAGAAGACTAATTAGTTACAAGTAAGCCATAATTTTGTTTACTCAATTAATAACCTTTTACAGATCATGAATACATTTTCACTAAATTATTGAGTTGATCGCATGTTAAGATTGGTACTGAGCCCAAACACTTCTTTAAAGATGTCCTTGACAGCAATATTGCAGCTCATTGGGTTTTTGGGGACTCCACGTTAAAGCACTAATGTTTCAAGAACCTTTTTTTAAATCATAACATAGCCTAAGCTGACGAATTACATCCATAAAAGTACTAATTGCTCCCAAACTGTTTTCAAGGGAAAAATGACTGCTGTGCTTTATTAGATAGTGATTGTTGGACTATTTTTTTAATCAGCAGCTTTAAAATGTTTTAAAAATAAAAACAAATAATAATGAGTTAACAACCATCTTTATCAAACTTGTATATTCAATGGATGTAAGATTCCTGTTTCTTTGTAATGAACAATTAGTATAGTGCTATGATAATGACATGATAGTCTCAAAGTTGATGCTATTTACATAAACAGAAACTTTAGGTAGACAACAATTCTTTATAGACAAAGGAGCTCACGTAAATTGATATTTGCACCTGATTATAGCATAACTACTATAGGACATAGTAAGAATTTGAGAACTTCATTGATTATATTAACACATTTTTTCACTAAAATACTTATGCTAGAATTCCATTTAATTCATTACTTATACTTCCAATCATAAAAATGCTAAGATTTTTGAAACTAAATAAATTCTAGCGTCGAAATTATAGATAAAATAACCTTGAAACTTCTTTATTTGGAATAGAGTCCTTAAAACGCCAAATTTCATTTGTTATAAATCATAATAACACAAATCTACAACAACTTTCAAGGTGATTTTTTAAACTTTTATTTTCAAGACATTGGACAAAACACATAAAGTGAATGTTTCAATTACCGCTCACTCAAGCAGACCAAATGGCCAAATTATCGACCATTTTATTTTTATTTTTACAGGCCTCAGATATATTTTCAATGAGTTAGAAGGTGGGTTCGTATAAAAAGAAATAACTTTTTGGTGCCCCAATAACAATCCATTCATTATGCAAAAATTTATATTAAGATGTAAAAAAAATTGTCGGTAATTAGAACATTCACCTTATCTAATATTTTGTGATAATTCAAACTACAAATTTAATAGATTTTTTCATGCAGCATTATAAGAGATTTTACTTTATCTCGATAAAAAAAGTTTCCTATTATATTATCATTTATTAATTCAAGAAGCATTATTATCTAATAGTTAAAGAACATTGCAGCTTACAGACTGCACCCGCATTGTAACACTAAAGTATCTAATTATTATAGATCCATTTTGCAGTATGGTAGAATGACTTACAAAAGCAGTGGAGTAGATATCAGTGCAGGTGATTCTTTGGTGGCTGCTATAAAACCCCTAGTTTCATCTACTAAACGAAGTGGCACACTTGGTAGTATTGGTGGTTTCGGTGGCCTGTTTGATACAAAAGCTGCTGGTTATAAAGACCCATTATTAGTTTCTGGAACTGATGGGGTTGGTACAAAATTAAAGGTAATACTTTTTTATGAGAAAAATATTTCTTCTGAAGACAGTGCAGAAAAACATGGCTGACGTATTTTAATATTTCAGATAGCAATTGAGTGTAAGAAGCACGATACAGTTGGTATAGATTTAGTTGCCATGTGTGTTAATGATGTTCTAGCTCATGGAGCTGAACCACTTTTTTTCCTCGATTATTTTGCATGTGGTCGACTTGACGTTCATACGGCAACACAAGTTGTAAGTGGTGTTTCTAAGGGATGCGAGTTAGCTGGTTGTTCTTTGGTAAGAAAAAAGTTTTATCTCCATTTTAACAAAGAATAGAATATGGGATGCATTTATTTGCTGTTACTCTCTATTACGAATAGAATCCAACAACTATACATTATCAGCTGGTCTCAAACCCAATAATCTCTTAAGTATATCTTTGTAGGTTATCTCTTTAGTTATAAATACCACAAGCTGAATACAAAAATTAATCATAATTATAATTTTAACTTTAATTAAAATTTCTCAAAAATACGCTTTTTCTATTTTAATCAAAAATACTTGATAATGAAAAAAGTTAAACAATCGATTAATATTCTCCGATCCCCTTTTACTAGACAGAGAATCGTATTCAGCCAATCGTACCACTAGGTGCTAATAAAGAATCAAAACGATTTGGATTTAGAAGAAACGCAGTTTTGCAGGATAAACTTTTCCTACTTTGAGCTTTTTTAATGTTTAAAAGTCTACACTAGGAAAGATAAAGTTCGAACCTTGACCCAGTAATTTGTACCACCCGGTACTGGAACTCTTTTCAACGGCGATATATTAACTTTAAAATTAGGGGTGCAAATTACAACTAACAGATTTAAGGTGGCTCCTCACTATAAATCCCACAAGAAGAGTAAGCATACTGCAACACAGCTTTTCATTGGCTGTGGAGGTTCTTTACTAAAAATGGATAGGTACCTATTGTCCCTTCAAAAAAAGTTTAGTCACATCTACTCCATTGACCTATATCGTACAATACAGTGATCTGAGCAGACGTATGTATACAAAAAGTACATAAGTCAGCCTCGCATTAAATTATTTTCTTAGTTCAGCGTCTCATTTATTTTTATTATAATTACGATTCCCCAGAACTCCTATTCATTTTACGTACAACTTTCTGACCAATTCAAACTACGCGGGCTACCGCTCTTCGGTGTAGCAGACGCCCCACACTTTTCATCTGTTCCATGACTTGCACAGTTATCTACTATTTTCACAAAATATCCTATAAAACCCATGGTAATGTCCAAGTACCTGAATGTCGTTGGAAAGATTCTGATTTATTCTATCTGCTACATAGTTTTCTATTAAGAACTACAGTATCTTTGCTGAGATATCATACAACCTGTGCCACTAATTTGACGACCCTCCATGAGAGGCTATGTTACAGAGTCTATTTTCCAGTTAGTTTTTTTCAACAATTTTGGTGGTGACGAAGTCCAAAATTTTGGGAAAAGACTCCTTGCACCTTCAAGAATCATCCTTTAAAATATCATTTAATACTCCAGTGTTTTGATTTAGTGAGGAGCCACCTTAAAGGGCGTGGTTAGTCTACGTTTGTGTCCAAGTTGCGAACGACTTTTCCTTGAGAAGGGGGCAAACATGTGTTTTGCGACCATAGTATGAAATAGTAGTTTCTGTCAGTAAGGCGCAATTTTTATATAGATCGCTGAGTCTGAGAGTGCATTACAAGCAGTGCTCGACTGACTTAGGTGGTTGCCCTGGTTGAATACTCAGCTGTGGCTAATGCTATTTTTCCTGCTTCCGACATTTTTTTTATTTTGAGATGTCTACTAACGCCCTCAGTAGGAAAAATAGAGTTTACCACTAGCATATAAGTATAAGCAAAAGAGGCCACAGAAAAAACTGCTGTTATTTACAGAGAGCACAGTAAATGTCCAAATTTTGAAAAAATATTTCGAGGTAGAGAAAAATTTTATATGCGTTATTACTGTACCACCTGATATTCCTCAAAAGTAAAATAATTTTAATTGAAAACAATAATAACATCCATTAGCTTGTTTATAACATAGACAATTTTAATTCTAGTTTTTTTTGAATAAACTAATAAGTACAAATTTCTTTTGATAAGCATATTTAAGATTTTTCTACATTATGTAATCAGGTAGGTGGGGAAACTGCTGAAATGCCAGACATGTATGCAGATGGAGAATACGATTTGGCTGGTTTTGCTGTTGGAGCAGTTGAAAAGCCAGATTTGCTCCCCAAAACTGACGATATAAGGCCAAATGATATTCTTATTGGCTTACCATCAAGTGGAATTCACAGCAATGGCTTTAGTTTGGTTCGAAAGGTTTTAAAAATATCAGATAAAGACTACTCTGACATTGCTCCCTTTTCACCAACAGGAAAATCTATTGGTATACAAGTTATTTTTACAAATTTTAAAGTTAAGAATAGGTAAAAACACAATACTTATCTTTAGGTGAAGAGTTGCTGGTACCTACGAAAATTTATACCAAAGTCGTAATTCCTGCCATAAGATCAAATTTAATAAAAGGATTTGCTCACATAACTGGTGGAGGCTTGACAGAAAATTTACCTCGTATTCTTCCTCATTCACTTGGTGTGACATTACATGCAACAAAATGGAACATTCTTCCAGTTTTTGGCTGGCTAGCTACAATGGGTGGTATTAGTAAAGCTGAAATGTTGAAAACATTTAATTGTGGCATTGGTGGTGTTCTTATATGCTCACCAGAACACAAAGACAGAGTTCTTCATTTACTAAGATCAGAAAATCCCACCGTTGTAGGTGAGGTCAACAGCTTGCAAGGTACGTTCTTATAAGTATTTTAATAAAACGAGTGAAAGGAGAACACGATCAACAACTTTACTTGTATCATCATAAAATTACTTTACGTATAGACAGTTCCACTAAATCTATGAACTTAAAAGTCTTTTGAGTAAAAGTATAATTAAAACATAGGTTTTTTACTTTTAACATCCATGAGATGTAGCAAAGTAGTTTTTTTAAGTAAAATTGAAAATACGATTTAAAAAAAAAATTTTACAATTAAAAATTAAAATCGTATGTTTAATTTATTGAAAAAATGTAGATAAAATATCAAATGTTTTTATAACCAAAAACGGAACTACAAATAAGGTAGTTTTGTACCTGGAAGTTTTATGAACCGATAGCCATTTATCTTATTTGATTATTTTGCCACTCAACGAACAAAATATTTTATTGATTTGGTAGTTATTAAAGAAATCCTTGTTTGTATACAAACCATGCTGAAGATACAGGTTAAAATTTTAATAAACTGTGGAGTGACTATTAACTGTGTTCAACTAATGCAAATTCTCGTTAACTTGTTTAAGGTAAGATAAAAATTGGATATTATTGAATTCTCAACCGATCCGTTGAGAAATACGCATACCCACGTGCATACTTATGTGCAAAACATAAAAAACTTTCTTGGTGTATGACATGTTATTTCAGCAATTCATTGGAATTCGAGCTTGTGATGAAATTTTTTTACGCATGAAGACGTGCACGCGCGTTTTTATACGTGACTTTTAACCACTGATCCATCGAAAATTTGACAACATCCAGTTTATTTAAATATATCTTACTTTGAAATTGTAAAAGAGAGTTGGTTCAATACTTCTTCGACCCTAGATAAAAAATAGAGGTCAGTTTACATAGTTTATTCAATCTTGCTTGTGCATCTGATGTAATGTATAACAATGCACATAGCAAGTATTAAACGCGTTAGTTTGTGACTAAGATCTTTAATATGACATACTAAGAATTTCAGCTATCCATCATGATCTTTGAAGTATCGAATGAAAGGGAATTGAAAGAAAAAGGTTCAATTCCCTTTCATTCCATACTTCAAAGAAGCTCAAGTTTTAAGGATTGATGAACTTGCTTGTTATAAAAGTATTCCTTGTAGGTGCAGATACAAGTAGTTATTGGTTAAAATAGTTTGATCACACGAGAAAAGAAATCACAATTTAGTATTATGTCACTAAGCCCAGTATTACTATTTAAATAACGAGTACGTTTGATTATGTGATGTTACAAGTATGTAAGAGTAACAAAATTGCTGTAAAAACTATTGACTTCAATAACTACTTTATACGTACTAAAAGTCACTATGATTAGAAGAGATGGTTGAGAGTTACGCATTTAAAAATATGATTTGCTTTAGTATTAAAATCAAGCTATCAAGCTAACTATAACTCTGAAATACAGATATTTATAAGCATTTCTTATCATATTTCAATTCCGTAGTCCTAACTCCTATTCTAGCCACGATGATATTGATCACTGACTTTACACTTTAATAGAGTATATACCTTCCTATTAATCTTTCTTTTTAATAGATATTTTATCTCTATAGTGTTTTGTAGCCATGTACAGTAAACTGCGAATGCTTTTTTTATACTGCGGTACTGCTGTTTTTATTAATTTAATGACAAGCTATTATACCGCCATCTATGTGTTTATATTTAAGTTTACATAATTTACGGCAATCATGCGTTTTTCAATCTCACAAAATCTTTTTTTTCTTTTTTTTTTCAATTCATACGTGTATTTGTTCATATCAATATTTTTCTTATTTAACATTTTAGTTTTTGAAAACAATTCCACTTTTATATTTAAATCACAATTTAAATTCTCTGTTTCAAATTTTTTTTAACTTTCTATCATAGTTTTCATTTCTTAGTTATTTTTTAAAAGAGAAAAAGTAAAATTTCAATGTGAAGCGGCTAAGGCGTTAAGATATTAAAATCTGTTATGTAGGGGAAGAACCATATGCATAATAATATTTGTTTCTGAAATAGTCCTGTACTTTTGAAATTTCAGGAAATCAAGAAAGAGTCAATGTTAAACATTTCGAACAAGCTATAGAATCAAACATGAAGAAATATGTTACTCCTCTAGTAGAAAAATTATCAAAACCATTAAAGAAAGTTGGTGTTCTGATATCAGGAAGTGGAACAAACTTGCAAGCTTTGATTGATGCTACACAAGATCAAGAAAAAAATATTGGTGTAGAAATAGTTTTGGTTATTTCAAACAAAAGTGGCGTTAAAGGTTTGGAACGGGCTGAAAAAGCAGGAATACCAACAAAGGTGCGTAATGGGCACTTTCAATTTCTTACATTTTGGCTAACATTATAATTCATAATAATTCTAATAATAGATATACCGTTTGCATGATAACGGCATGTAAGAATCGGATCGGCGTTTTTCTCATTTTTCGTAATAAGTGTTGTCCATAAGCATACGGTCTGTTGAAAGCTGGTGAGGGAAAAATGTATCAACTGATGGCTGTGTATCATAATTACAATAAGTTTGAGTTTAGTGTTGAAGACATTGCCTAATTATTTAATAGAAACTAACAAAAATTACGGAAATCTAAATTCAGACTGTCTTGTATCCATACTAATTTGTTCAAGGTATGTTATTGTACTAAGTGCTGAAAGGAACAGGATAAAAACAGGTGTTTCATGGGTGCCCTGATAGGGTATAGCTAAAAATTCATAAGTAAGCCTCCATGGTAAAAATAATACATCATTACAAAATTGCAGACATGCATAGAAAAATGTGTAAGAAATCATCGTGAGATGTTTCAATTTATGCAAGAGACTACATTGAAAGATATGAATCAAACGCCACTATAAATAGCCCAAATAAAAGTACTATAAAAACGTTACACACCTACATCCCACAGTAACATACACTTCTAACTGGTACGGATTTTTAAATGCTACAGTTTCATCGGTAATGCAGATACTCGTAAATTTACTACACTGTAAAAAATTGAAATTGTTGTCCATGTTCTATGAGCCCTGCATGTGTAAATATTTAGTTAAAAATTGTATTGTTGCTGGAGTAATAAATGAGGTCCTGTAAGTTATCTCACTTTTGATATTAATTTAAACTATTGTTTGGAATTTTTTCGTAAATAAGATATTAGCGTTACTTGAAAACATATTTATTAATGATTTAAGTCTCTCAAGAAATTAGAACATGCTGTACGTTATTAAGAAGGCCTGGGCGATTTTGAATAAAATGCTGGATAGCTCTGAAATTTAAAGCTTATCTAAATAAATTATGCTTTTTTTTTATGAAAAAAAAAAAGAAAGTTAAAAATATTTATTTTCGAGAAAATCGCTTTTGAAAATTCGTCATTTAAACACGTAACCTTAAGAAACCTGAAATTCAATTGGCTACCATACCGCGATAAAAAGCTGTGGGATCGTACATCGAACTGGTACACGTAGTTTGGATTATGAAGAATTTATTACTTTAAAAAAAAGATAGGGTCAACACGTTGAATTTTGAGAAAACAGTGAGGAAAAAATCGAGCGTGAGAATCGTTTTGTTCAGGTACTGTGAGTGGGCATGTGCCATAAAAGTTGCAACAGCATATACGTGAACACAAATAATGGTACATTCTGTATACTAGTAATGGAAAATAATTTTAATAAATTAAAAATAAAATGATGTAATTATTAAATAATAACTAATCAAATATAATTAAATATGATAGAAGCATTCATTTACTGTCATACGGCATTTATAACAAACAATACATACGCTATTTTCTTTTATCCAGCTAATCAAAAATATTTTATATGATTCTTTTGTTGGTGTAACTTGTGATTCATTGTTCACATTTTCCTCTTATAGGAATGTCAAACCGTCTAATCCTCCAGTTTCAATTGCTTTGAGAAGCATTGTTTAATCAATACCAGCCTTAGAAATTTTTATTTTCATAGCTGTTTTTATGTTCGTTAAGTCTGTCATTGAGTTCTTATTCTCTTTGATTTTTGGTAATCTGGCACTTGTATTATTATAAATTTAATACTTTTTGTATTTTTCACAATTTTAGATGTGTCAACACAAATCTTATGAATAAGTTTTTGTAAAACTAAAACATCATTTAACCCATTATGTACGTTCATAACATCACTTTTATCTAAAGCTATTGGCTAAATCGACAGATTCCAGTCTAGCACAAATGTATAGGTATATAACAGAAGATTAAACAAGGTGCAGATGTCAGTTCTATAGTAGTAGGGTCGTCAACTTTACAGGTGGTACCTCGAGGAAACTAATACATATTTTAATATTGATTTTCCCAATGACTTATCCACGTATTATTGCTATTTCGTTGACATTTGTGTATAATCAATATGATTGTTAAAAAAAACAATACAAAGAATCATTTGTATGACAAGTACCCTACAGGGGCCTCTCAATAGATACGATACCAAACGCCCAAGCCTCCTTGAAACTATATCATGTTTGCTTACATTTTGTATGAATAACACGTCGTTGCCAAATTTTGACTTTGTGTATCGATCAAAGGGTAAACAATTTTAAAAAAATCTTAGCTATAGGCAACATCTTCAAGATCAATAACACGTTGCTTAGTATTAAAATCAGCTGGGAGTTTTTCCTATCATGCTTTCTCATCAACTTCTCACAGATTGTATGCTTGTGTACCAAACTTATCACCATTTAAGTATGTAGCGCTGGATCAATAATTCAACTGTGACAGTTATTAATCAGTTTTTTATTGCTGATTGTATGAGTATACGAAATATTTCATAAACTCAAAATTATTTTTTTCAAATTATTCCTTTAAGGTCATTAANTATCAAGTTTCAAAATTTATCTGTTGAATAATCAATTTATTCCAGCACAATATACAGCATTTGTTTTTTGATTATTACTTTATTGAATTCTCATCGTTCCCTGAATATTCCGTTAAGTTAAATAATTTAATGTCTTTTTTAACTTATTCAATATCTTTCTAAATCAAATATCTTATTTAATTTATTCCTGCCCTTTTTTGGGTACAGATAATATTCTCATTTCATATAAACAATTTCATAAATATCTTAACAGCTATTATTCTAGTTTTTATCTTAAACTATGTAACAGGAACTCGCCATCATAGGTGGAGGGGAAGGTTTGCTTAAATAAGTACAATCAATTTATTTTTAATTATCTTATATTCATTCAATCATATGATTCTAAGGAAATTGTATCTTCAATTTCTACATGTCCTAATTATATTTGAGTAATCGCGGTTATTTACGTTAATAATGAAGAAAAAAAATATATAATATACTCGATGATGTAGAATTTACTTAAAATTTATCCGCCTTTGTTTAATAGAAAATTTTACATAAATAACAATTTAAATTTTCCCTCTTTAATACCTCCGCTTAGACACGTTAGGTTAGACTAGCACGAATTCTTAGTAAAACCACGGAAGGTTAATGTAAGGTAACTACCTATGCGGGATAGCGTCAACCGATCCAAAAGTGTCAAGCAACCCGAGACTGCGCAGTACGCATCCGGGACCCGAGCATGCGCGTTGAATCGAGTCAAATTCAGCTCTCTGAGACATAGAGTCTCTTAGCTACAGAATTTCTTTTCCGCCATTAACCTTTAAGTGAGCAGGTGCGTTTGCAGGTTATTAGGCGATAAATAGGCATGTAGCTATAATGTATGTATATATACTTATATACACAGCATGTATATATGTATATGTGCCAAATGCCAATATATAGCTCAGCAGCAGCCGACACGGTTTTCCTATACGAATGTAAATAAATGCTCGACCTGGACTAGGTAATATAGAAGCTCAATCTTCCCGATTATGTGACGATTCCGTCCATCTTTTTTATTGCTGATTGTATGAGTATACGAAATATTTCATAAACTCAAAATTATTTTTTTCAAATTATTCCTTTAAGGTCATTAAAAAAGTAGCCATTTTGAAAAACAATATATTCTTCCGTTTGCCTTAAATTTTTTTAACTGAAAAAAAAATACTAGATCGAATGAGAGAAAAATAATATTTTAATGTTCTAAAGAAACTGGGTGTTCGAATTGGATGCCTGCAAATGGTAAATTAGTAAATTTTTCAGGTCATCAAACATGTAGATTTTCCAAGCAGAGAAGACTTTGACAAGGAAATGGATAAGGAACTTGTGAAAGTAGGAGTTGAAATAATATGTCTTGCTGGGTTCATGCGAATTCTTTCGGCTTATTTCGTCAATAAGTGGAAAGGAGCTATAATAAACATTCATCCGTCACTTCTTCCGGCATTTAAAGGAGAGCATGCACACAGAGATGTACTAAAATTCGGCTCTCGGATTTCAGGCTGTACAGTGCATTTTGTTGAGGTACATGACTACCGTTTAATGTATTTTAAATTTTCTTTTGAAATAAGAGGAAAAATTGTGGTATTTATATTTCTAGGTGGCTGTTGATGCTGGAGCTATTATTGAACAGCACGCCGTACCTGTCTTACCTAACGATACTGAAGAAACGTTACAGGAACGAGTAAAAGTTGCAGAGCATAAAATTTTTCCTTTAGCTTTGAAGCACTTGGCTACAGGAAGAGTAAAATTGGGAGACGATGGCTCTCTTAAATGGAATTATTGAAAAATACTTAAACTATTGTAAAAAAAGGGTACGAACACATTGATTTTTTTACTTACATATTATTATGAAACTACATATTGTTAAGTCTATAAATATAGAAAATCAATAAATTTACAACTAAAATGTTTTTGTCCTCTATAAATTATGTAGATGCACGATTTAATGTAAAAAGAGTAACCTAAGATTTTTAATTTATATTTAGATACCTATATCTTCTGACTACGTCTCATATTATGGTTTGAACATTATTTTCCTAAAATCAACCACACTAGGTATTAGTATACTGTGTACACAAGGAAACGAATGCTAGAAATTATATATTGTACAACGAACGGAAACTGATTCATAAGCTACTAGGGGTAAACGGGGGTATTATTGCGGTTTTTTTTAGTGGTTAGCTTTAAACGATTGTCTAAGAAATTAAGTGCGTCAAATCGTGGTGATTTTTTATTATTATTAATGTTGGACTCAAAAAATATTAAATTTCCTCTTTATAAATGTATAAACTCATGAATATCGATTTGAAAAGAGGTTTTAAAGTTCAGTTCCCAATGCTGGTATTATTGTGGGCCTGTATGTATTATTGTGCACGTATTATTGTGGTCAATTTCAATGCTAAATCAACCAAGTATCCGCAATAACACCATCATAGTGAAAGAGGTTATGTGTGCACCAGTTATTGCGGACATGATTTTTTGTTTTACAAATGTAAAGTTTTTAAGGCTATTTTTGAACTGAAGTTCAATGAATTAAGTACTATATAACTTGATTTAATAATTTCAAGTATTTACTATCTATAACTTATCAGTTCAATTAAAATATACGCATTATTTGAGAGTGCCGCAATAATTGGAGCAACCGCAATAATAACCTCGTTTACTTCTATAGCTTATTCCATAAAAAAAATTTTTTTTTCAATAATTTTTCAAGTTTCAATTTTTAAGACCTTTTCAAAGGCTTTACTTCAAAAAAGCTTCTCTTGAAGCAATATTACGACTTCCCTTTCTTTGAGTATAACCCCAGTTAATTGGTGGTGGTAACAATCGACTTAAGAATATTATCTGTACCGAGGAAACTCTAAGATTAGGAACCAACACACAAACAATGTTAATGTTTATATATCAGAGGGCGGGTTCGTTGTCCTGTGTAAACGAGCGAAGTTGCTCATATTGCCGATTATATACAATATTTAAAAATTATTATTATCAAGTTTCAAAATTTATCTGTTGAATAATCAATTTATTCCAGCACAATATACAGCATTTGTTTTTTGATTATTACTTTATTGAATTCTCATCGTTCCCTGAATATTCCGTTAAGTTAAATAATTTAATGTCTTTTTTAACTTATTCAATATCTTTCTAAATCAAATATCTTATTTAATTTATTCCTGCCCTTTTTTGGGTACAGATAATATTCTCATTTCATATAAACAATTTCATAAATATCTTAACAGCTATTATTCTAGTTTTTATCTTAAACTATGTAACAGGAACTCGCCATCATAGGTGGAGGGGAAGGTTTGCTTAAATAAGTACAATCAATTTATTTTTAATTATCTTATATTCATTCAATCATATGATTCTAAGGAAATTGTATCTTCAATTTCTACATGTCCTAATTATATTTGAGTAATCGCGGTTATTTACGTTAATAATGAAGAAAAAAAATATATAATATACTCGATGATGTAGAATTTACTTAAAATTTATCCGCCTTTGTTTAATAGAAAATTTTACATAAATAACAATTTAAATTTTCCCTCTTTAATACCTCCGCTTAGACACGTTAGGTTAGACTAGCACGAATTCTTAGTAAAACCACGGAAGGTTAATGTAAGGTAACTACCTATGCGGGATAGCGTCAACCGATCCAAAAGTGTCAAGCAACCCGAGACTGCGCAGTACGCATCCGGGACCCGAGCATGCGCGTTGAATCGAGTCAAATTCAGCTCTCTGAGACATAGAGTCTCTTAGCTACAGAATTTCTTTTCCGCCATTAACCTTTAAGTGAGCAGGTGCGTTTGCAGGTTATTAGGCGATAAATAGGCATGTAGCTATAATGTATGTATATATACTTATATACACAGCATGTATATATGTATATGTGCCAAATGCCAATATATAGCTCAGCAGCAGCCGACACGGTTTTCCTATACGAATGTAAATAAATGCTCGACCTGGACTAGGTAATATAGAAGCTCAATCTTCCCGATTATGTGACGATTCCGTCCATCTGGTTAACCTGCTGTTCTTGAAGAAGAGTCAAAGTGCAGGTGCTGGGGAGAGTGGTTTTTTCCTGGTGACTATGCAATCGCCCAGGACAATGTATTCCATGCAGCAAACTTTACTTGCTGGCATATACAGCAATATGTTTATTTTTCTCGGTTTTGATGCTGATACCCTGGATAACATGTATCGTGCAACAGATTTTAGATGCTGCTGTTGTTGGTCGTTTTTCGTTCTTGGTGATGATTTATAGTTTCTTACAATAACTACCCTATGCACTGTGCATCGGAGTCTTCATGCTGGTGAGAGAGTGCTTGTTGATGGATATTGAAAATAAAATTTATTTGTATATTTCCTGGTGATGATGCAGTCACTCAGGACAGTTGTACTCTTTCCAGTAGATTCAAACTGCTAGTTCTGAGATTAGTGCTTTTTTCCAAAAATGTTATTTTTACATACTAGCATTTATTAACAAATGCTGCAATGCCCGTTTATTTTCTTATAGTGTTATATTGCATGCTTATTTATTTACCTTGGGATGACGTATAAGATGATTAACGAAGGGTACTACACTATGCTAAACGTCGTCTCCAAGATACAAAGCATCAATCTCAACATCAGTTAGTCCAGCATATACTGTCTTGAGTGCGTACAGTGTATACATCGTCATTAGAAGTAGGGTTTACAAATACATTTCATTTTTAATACTTATAAAATCCTCGTAAATCAGACGTGTGAGTGAGAGCCGACGACAAGCTCTTAAAAAAAAGTCTATATGTTAAAAGGTATATATATATATATATTTTTTTTTTTCCATGATCTTTGTACCTTGGCACTTATTATGTGCGTTGCAATAGTTATTAATAAAGGAATTTTTATTACACAAATGACTAAATAGCTGGACATCAGATATTTCATGTAGTGTTCTTAATTATACACTTGTATACTGGTAGAGCTTGGTGTTATGCCAAATAAAAAAGAGCCCTCACTGGCATCAATGTGTTTGTGTGTGTGTGAGTGAGTGAGTCACATCTTAGGAACTTGTCTACCGATGTGTTACAACAAGGCCTATTTTTATTGTTCAAAGGTTCTTATCAACAATGAAAACACAATTTAGAGCTTCGTTGACAAGTATCTTTTTATTCTGATATTTTTAGTTTTAAATATAAATTTTTTTAAATGTCAATTTGTATTGTTTTCGTGGAAGTTTTGAGATATTTTAGGGTTGTTTATATTTATCATATCGACAAGATAACCTTTTTTTAAAAAAAATATTCGAAATTAAAAGTTTAATAAATAAGGAACGAATCGATGAGGAATTTACTATGACATTCTTCTTTTATTTATCGTACAACTACTTCATTTTATTGGTAAGTCTTCTGGAGAGTTCCTTTCAGAATCCATCCATCTGATGTTTTCTCGTACACTAATCCGTCAACAAATTGACCATTATGTCGTAAGAACATTGACGATTGTATAACTTGATTGTGTCTAGCCTGTTCCATTTGCTCAACTAATCGCTCTACATCTTCCTCTGTAGCTTCAATAATTTCGCATTCGCTGGAATTCTCCTTATTTATACTTTGGCTCTCAGGTTCGCCCGTATAACAAAAAAAATGATCTAAAGAAAAATTAAATCATGACGATAATACCGTCAGATCAGGGTTCCATTGACTTTACGTTAAAAGGTTTCTCACATGTTTTCTCAGGGAAAGCTTTTAATTAATTATCACTTTTTCATACATAAAATTAATAAATACATGTAATAACCTCGTAATGATGTACAACTTGGCTACTACGTTTGTTTGAATGTGTCAGTCGCACTTTTTTTCTCTAGAACAACAGATTATGTGCGTTTCTTGAAAGGGACATGAAAACGTATAATTACCTTCATTCGTTACGAGAGCCATCTCATTAAGAAATCGTGCAATATCCCATTCTCCCTGGTCTAGCTTATTCCAAGCATTGTCTATTGCGTTGTTTTTTTCTTTATTTTTTTTACTTATTTCTCTACATTCATCTATTTCAAAAAACATTCTTTGCTTCATTGTGTGTCGTGTTTTACGAACAACTTCCGCAAGTCCTCCTAAAACATTTCAAATATGAATTTCGTTAATGTCTATGATGAGAAATATATAATAATTATACAGTAATTGAAACAAGAAATGTATCATTTAACCATTAAAAAATAATTATTCAAACAGTAACAAATGTACTTTGGACATTTCAAATTGTTTTTAAAACATAAAAAATTGGTTGCAAATAAATTAACATAAACCATTATTAAGCAAGACTATTGGAATCGCTTAAAATAAAACATGACTGCTCTACAACATATAATTATTAACGAAATTGGATAGGAATTTTCCAAACCAAAGATGTAAAGAAAACGTTTCCAGCCGTGAAAAGTCGTTGAAAGTTTCACCAATTCAAGTTCCAAAATTAAGCCGACCATTTCTTAAATCAGTTTTTTCTGAGTTTAAAAAACAACTAAACGACGTATACGGCTTTTTCAGAATGAAAAATAGAACTAGAGAAATATATGTAAAATACTTGCTTAGGAACACAGCTATGGTTGCGTGACTTCCCAAGATTCGTGTTAACCACCGATGGAATGCTTCCATAACATTATTTGTGCGTCTATCTTCTCGGTGTACAGAAAACTTTATGTCACTCATCCATTGATCGATAAAGTACCGAAAAAATAACATCAATTTCAAATCATCGGGAAACTTCGTAACTCGTTCCGTTTCTATAATATTGAAACCCGTCCATATTAAATTTTCTGGTAATAGGGCGAGCGCATTTAATTTCTTCACAAGCAGGTGTTTTTCTTC